GGGGGGCAACCGTACTTCATTTAAGAATGCCATGTCAGATATTCAAACAAGAATAGGCATTACTGAGGTTCAGTTAAATTAGAAAAAAAAAAAAGGGTGAAGGAGGATAGCGTAAACACGGCGTGTAAGCCGCCTTTCAGCCTTCTGAGCACTTGGTTTTGGTTAAGTCAGGGTAATTCAGGTAGCTGTGTCTTTGCTCTTTTGCTATAAAACACTAAATGCTGTACCCCATGAAAAAGTTCAGCTTTTCCATGTTACAATGATGTAAGTTTTTTTGTTTGTTCAAGTATTTGGAAACTCAAGAATTGCAGCAGAAAGTGAAGCCTCTCGCGGTCAGAATGCTAGGTTGGCCGGTTAAAAAATTAACAGCCATGCATTCGAATGTTTCACAGAAAAAATGATGATTAAATACTGGTTTTTTTCACTGGTGAAGAATTTTTAGCTTTGAATGGGGTTTCTGATGGTATATGTTTGGCCTTTGGCATTTGAATAGAAATCCTTTTAAAATAGTGTTAAAGTTTTCATTCAAAGATAATTTTTTATACATCTGTAAAATACCGGCTCAAAAATGGCTCCAATAGAAAGTTCAGTTCATTTTCCAATTTAGAATAGAGTAATAATTTTGGGATTATTTTACATTGATCCTTCAACGAAACTCTGAAAGTATATGAACCCCACCACAGGGAGGGCTCAGTGCACTACAGTATAGAGATATATTGCTTACCGCAGGGGCCAGGGCAGCAGTTGGTGCTTTTGTCGAAATGACGACAAATCTGCATGTTTGAGGCAATGAAATACTGATTTGCAATGATTTCACAATCTTGGAAAAAATTAGGTTCGATGTCTATGTTATAGTGATTGTACTCTGTTAACCCCTTCATGATGTATGGTTTTTCCAACTTGTACTGCACCCAATTTTTGCTAGCCAGGACATTGAAAGATATTGTAGTGCAGTTATAAAATCCCATACAGTGTACGTAGGAAGCTCCATGCAATTGCCGTAATCGAACGTACATTAAGGGAGGATGGCATCTTGGCACACAATGTTGGACCTACGGTGCACAGGATCTGTCACGGAGGGGTTAATGTGCAGATGTTTGGGGCACTTTGTACTGTTTTATTATCTTGTCAAACATGGGGTTGCAGCCAATTAACGAATGTTGCAATATTTGATCACTAGCTGGGCCCCTTTTCGATAAAAGGGATGATCGGTGCATTAACATCTACTGAAAGTCATTGACCTACTATATTTACACTCTACTGGAAAGGAGCAATAAATCTTGAGAGATGCAAAAAATTAGAAGGTATAGATCTGATCTATACTCTCAAAACAAAATGCGCCTCACGAAATATCACTTCCGGCACTTCCGCTTTGAAGGACAGCTCTACGCAGATTTGTTTTGTTTCTTGGTGGAATAATCACAAAGGCCAAAGGACGGGATTTTTTGTCAAATATATATTTTTTTAATTCAGGAAATTAATAAATCAAACAACGGGTTCCGTCATGAGGACCTATCTATCTTTTTGCAGGTACTTGCCAACTTTCAACTCTGTAGCAGTCGTAGTTTTATGGGAAAAGTGATACATGTGTATTTCCAAGTTGCCAAATATATAATAGATATTAAAACAGCTGCCATTTTCTTTAAAATTGACCAAGATGTAAAGGAATAGTACCAAAATAAGATTGTCATTTTGAAAATTCAGTTTCTGAAAGGTCATAACATAATTTGTTGTTGTCATTTTTGTTGTTGTTTTGGGGGATTTTTTTAGGTGGGGTTACTTCTTTGCCATGAAATTCATGCACTCATGGTCTAGGGCACACTTCAACAAGTCACTTTTGTTTGTATTATCTCAACAGTTATTGCAGAGAACCAAACATAATTTGTTGCGGTATTTTTGGATCTAGTCTCGACAAACTTGCGAAATACTCTGCCTGAGTTACTTTTTGTATTCTCTTATTGCCAGAGAGAACCGGATCTGGAGTTTGGAGCCATCTACACTGGAAGAATAGTTGAAATCAGGTATGTATCTGCTGTTGTGCTTTCTTCTTTTCTCATTCTCGTGAGAAAATGTGATTAATTCCAACTTCGGTTGCTACCTGAGTCTTATGTGAGCTCTGTTCCGCAACATGACAGGGATGCCGTTATTATGGTTATTATACTTATTCCAGGGGGATGAGGGGGGCAATAGAAAAACAGTTATTATTCTCAGCATTTGTTTTCTATTTAGCCCCATATTAGTTTTTATGTTTGTTAATTGTCTTTTTGTTTGCCAATGCAACTTCATGAATTTTTACTAAAAGTTACAGAATTTTTTTAATTTCTTTTTTCTCATTAAGTAAATATACTGGTTCACAGATTGTCTCTCACCGTTGAGAAATCGTCCTCATCTTTTGTCCCTCTTATCCTTTACTCACAGCTATTGACACTTGTACTGTTGTGTTCTGTTCTGGTATTGTTTTTATCCTGACATTCACATTGTAAATGTGCTGCCACTGTAGACCTACAGATGTTTTGTATTATAAAGATATCCTCAAGATGTTTTGTGACCCTTTGTATTTCACCCATACTATAATAACTTTAGTGAGAGTCTTGAGGGGTATATGGGCATTGGAAGTAATCTGGATAAAAATATTTGAATATTGGTGACTTTATGAATAAGATTCACTGCCCCCCTCGCCCCTTTTCTTTTTTTTTTTTTGTTGATAAGCTACCCTTCACTGCTTCACTCTTGTCTGATTCTGTTTTTGTCAGGGAATTTGGCGTCATGGTTGAACTGCATCCCAAATTGAAACCAGTCCTACTACACAACTCTCAGCTGGATCAGAGAAAGGTATGCATTTTTTAAAGTAAAAATTGTTTTCTGTTTCTTTTTTTATGTAGAGTCAAACCTCGTTGAACCACCCCCAGTATTACCGCCAGCCCTGATTACAGCCAGGTTTTGCCAATGTATGAAAAGAATTCCCCAATATATATATATATTATTTACACCTTTATACCGCCCTCCGACAACTGCCTCAGTTGTATGGTACTTATTAAACTAGTGTAAATCTACCCTGTTTTACGGCCAGTGAACTGGCCGCCAGAAGCACAGAACACACTTGGCTACACACGATGCACAGCAGATCCACTCGGTGGTTGCTTGTCAATCTTTCACACACGTCTCCACAAGCTAGGCTCAGGTCTAGATAAACGCTTTTCGCCAAGTTGTCCCTCCCCACCCATCCCACCTCCCTACCCGTCTTGTAGATTTCAGGCAATGTCGATGGATCTACTGTGATGTAGTGTGTCGCAAGCGAACACAATGCAATGTTTAATGTAGAAAAGTACAATTAACACATTACACCCGGGATCGCCCGGGAATTCCCTTACGCCCTCCACCCTGACTCGCCCGAAACCGCCCGCGTCGACCTAGTGTCTTTAGGAACGAAGTCTCGCCTTGACGAGACTCTGGGGCCGAGATTTTGATTTGCATAGTTATAGCAAAAGTTTCTTCTTTGATTTGATACTGAAACGAAATTTTTCGGGCCAGTAGTTTTAGTATTAGAGCTGATCGAAGTGTGATCGCGTTACGGACACTTCGAAAGTGTCTCGACTTGATGATGAAAAGCGACACAATTGAGTTCGAAAACGGAAATAACGATGGATTTGAACAAAAACAAGCATATGACAAATCAGATGAGTCAGATTTTGATGAAAACGTTGTAACAAGAGTTCGGGGCGATTCAGATTGATCAGATGTAGAAAATCTAGAATTTAGATCTAGGGCCCGACCACGAGGCTGAGAGTGAGAGTGACGGGTCAGACACCCCGATTGAACTAAAGTTAGAACATTTCCAACAGTTTGCGCATACATAAAGTTATATTTTCCTGAAAATGCATTCAGTTTTCTTTTTAACTTTTATTTTCTCTGGATTTTTGGAATTTGTTTAGTATTTTAAAATGTGTTTTTTAAACGCTTATATTCACGGGAGGTGGGTTCTTTCCCCTTGCTTAGGATTTAACAATGGACTTCCCGTCCAGGACCTTAGGGTGTAGTAATGTGTTAAAATAAAACATAGCTTTGAAATTCAGCATCAAATATCACTCTCTGCATGTGTGAATCCGGCTAAATTTGATGCGTTGATTATGAAGATGCTATTACTAGGTAGCGTAAACACGGCCTCGCGGGCACTCGCGACCTTCCGACTGCGTGGTATCGGTGAAATCGGGGGAATTCCAATCGCTGTTTCTTTGCTCTTTCGCTATAAAACACCAAATGCCGTACACCTTGTAAAAGTTCAGCTTTTGCTCGTTACAATGGTGTAAGTTGTTTTTATGTCCGATTAGGAGAATCGCCGACAAAAGCGAAGCCCCTCGCGGTCGGAATGCGTGGTCGGCCGGTTGAAAATTTGACACAGATGCGTTCAAATGCTTCGCGGAACGAAGGATGATTAAATACCGTCTTTTCATTGGCGTAGAACTGTACAGCTTTAAACAGGCTTTCCCGTGGTTTGTGTTTGGCCTTTGGCATCTAAATAGAAAGCTGTTAAAAATACTGTCAAAATGTTTAAAGATCACTTTTTACACATCATATGTAAAATACCGGCTTAAAAAATATATCCAATAAAAGATCAGCTTATTTACAATTAGAAAAAAGTAATCAACTTGGAATTATTTTTCATCAATTATTCCGCGAGACTCAGAAAGCATGTGACCCTGCACGCGGGGTACACTACAGTATAGAGCCAACTCACTCGCCGCGGGGCCCGATGCGGCGCCGGCCGGGTCAACGCTCGGTGTTTTTGTCGAAATAACGACAGATCATCGTGTTTGAGGTGATAAAATTCTGATTTGTAATGATCTCACAGTCTTGAAAAAAAATTAGGCTCCATATATTTGTTATAGTGATTGTACTCTGTTAATGTGGAGATGTTTAGTTCTCTTGGTACTCTTTTATTGTCTGTCTAACATGGGGTTGCAGCCAGTGACTGACTTTAACAAATTTGATCAAATTTTAAACAACTACCATTTTCTTTAAAATTGACTGAGAGGTTAAAGAATGGTACCAAAATGCTCAGTGGATATAGGCCTTTCAAGTGGAACTGATAAATTTGGCATACAGCCACTTTGAAAATTTTGTTTCTGGTACCTACTATTACATGTATTTTAAGGCCTTGGTCAGTATAATATAATTTATTTTTTTTATTGGAAAAAATTTTTAGGTTCCTGGAGAAAGTTTAATGAGACTTTGTTTTTTGCTCTAAACTGGCCAATGTAAAAAACTGTTGAGGTTATGTTATAAAAGTTTCATTTGCTGTCGAGGAAAAATTGCTTGTATTTTACCATATTTTTGCCACCAGTTTCATAATTGTATACTCTGTAAGACATATTTACATGACTGAATATATTCTATTTAGACTCTGGCATAAATTTTGATTGAAAATGTTTTCGAGGGCTGTACTTTTATTGATGAAAGTACACCATTCTCGAGAACGCTTCTTACAAATACAGGGGCAAATTCTTCTCTTTATTGCCTTTTTATAAATACTGCAGTCTGATTTATGAACGTACCATTATTTACTGTGTTAACATGTTATAGAAATATTATGCATGTGTATCAGAATTCTCATACATGAAAATCTGTAAGCTTTGACTCTTTCCGAACGTATCGCCGATGTATCAGGGCAACTCCACACCCCTTGCAGACGTATCGCCGATAAATCGGCTAGTGTGGGGTGTTTCAGTTTTCTTTCATTTTACAGGCAGGATCAGTCATTTATAAGTACTTATTATTGTTATTGAAAACTTGGAAAGGATTTAGGAAACGAAAATATCTAGTTTCACTTTTTCAAAGCGTCAGTTTGACGATAAATGAGGGAGTTCATTCTTTCTGTCTTGTTGTATTGACATAACGATGTAACCAGACTCAATAGAAATATCATAACTCAAACAAAAATTGGAATATTGCTTTCAAATAAAAAGTAGTGCATTCAGAAATTTGTGGATTATGCTTTTGGCCAGTATATGATTTGATAGCTCTGCTGATTTGCTTTCACTTGTTTGGTGAGTGTAAATTTTTCCATCAAAATCTATTTTCCTCACCACCATCACCCATTCTAACCCTTGTAATGCATACTTATGTTAAAAAATAGTCCTTCTTTTATGTTTGAATGTATTCCTCATTTATTTCCTTCAATTTGATATATCATATGATACCTTTGGAGTGATGGGATATGCTTGTATGAAGTTGTTTTGTACATCACCTGCATAGCCAAATTGAGCCACAGGTTAATTAAGTCTAGACCCCAAAAAACTATGTCTGAAAAGAGTTAAAAGAGAACTCTACTTCTTTCTTTCAAATTTTTTAAAGTGTGCATAGTATTTGTTGCAGAAATCATATAGTATAATTTATTTTAAATTAGGAATAACATTGTGTGCCAGCAACATGAGAATTCAGTTATAATGAAAAGGAGGATTTTGTTTTAGATGGATAGAATTTTTACTATTATTTAGGTATAGAGCTCCTACTCTGTGGCAAAAGGTGATTCGATATAATAATATTGCTTGCTTTCTGTTCAGGTTTCTCATGCAAGTTCTCTTGGAATGGAAGTTGGAAACGAAATTTCTGTCAAGTACTTTGGTCGTGATCCCTCAACAGGAACCCACCGCATATCACGTAAAGTACTGCAAAGCCCAGGAGTGCCTCTCATCAGAAAGTTAAACCCAAAATTGTGATAGTGCATAAATTGCACAACGCGATCTAAATGTTGACATTGATTTACACTTCTCATGAGCAGAGTTTGTTTTTAGCGCTCTAACAGCGTTCCTTCATTTGAACTCCTCATTCAAAGTATAGTGAGAACTTGTGGCAGTTGCGCAAGTTGATCAATTGTGTTCATTACCATCGTTCATTTTGAACAAAATTTATATTTTGTAACACAAGCTGAGGGAATGAACGAGCATCTCTTTTTTTTGGGTCTTATTCTCTGTTCACTCCAGGTGAGTGCTTCATATTTTGAAACAATGTAGCTAATTACTGAAAGGGGCAACTTGCCTCATTTGTCTATCTCTGTGCTTTTGGTCTCATTTTAGAATTTTAGAATGATACTAGACTGTAGGTAGCTCCTTGAAGAAAATGTGTAGTCTAGTTTGTAGAAGGTTGGAGTGTGAGGAAAGAGATTCAGAAGTACCACTTGGAGCATTCCTCAAAGTAAATATTTCCACATGCTCCCTTTGCTTATTTTTGTTTGTTTGTTTTGTTTTCATACGAGTTTTATGGCACTTGCAACACAATAAGGGAGTTACAAGAGATTTATAAGCACAAAAAAGAAGGAGGAGAGATAAGGATGATAGATGTTTGATAGAAAAGAAGGAGCAAACCATACCAGAGCATCTTCCAACCACCAGCTGTGCTTTGTTTGAGTGGGTGAAGTAATAACAAGCTGTCATTTTCAAAAAGAAGAATAAGTTCAAGATCAGACTTCTTAAAGAAATTATGCTGTGAAGCTACTAGCATAAGAACTTGAAAAGCGTCTTATCAGGTACCAGAAATCAAATTTTCATCAAATCAATATAGGTTTATCTGTTTCTTGTGAAAGGCCCTTATTTCCTGAGAATATTGGTACCATTTTATTACGGTACCTCTTAAAAGTAAACGGAAGCCATTTTAGTACATCGAAATATTGTAAAATCCAGAAATTGGCTGCAGCCCATTGTTTGACAGATAATAATAAGTAAAACTGACAGTGGTCTGTCGTCTTTCAACTTTCTGATAAGAAAATAATACAGGATGCAATCTTGGTACATTTTGTGTCCTTAAGTGTGAGCATTCATTTAACTGATGAAAACTTTAAATACCGGTATTTTATTTCATGGCTGCAACCTCCATATGCAGACTAAGCAATGTTTTTACTTACTTAAGGTTTTATAAGAATCATTTTTTAAAAATTGTTTACATAGCTGATGTTCATCATAACTTTTTCTCTGAAAGACAATTTGACTCAGACTATAGATAGAGATAAGGCAGGTTTCTTCATCCATATTTTTACCATTTAATATGACAAAGCAGTCCAACGCTTACCAGCAACTGTGTGACTAAACTTACATATATTGTTTACTTCTATGGAGTAAGAAAGAGTAGTTACCATTCTACTGGTAATTGTTGGCCTTTGTTGTGAAAACATAACTGAAGTAAACTGATGGGTTGTGGATTTCTTTGGTTCTCATGATGTTATTTATTTAACAATGGTTATAATGGCTGTCAATTGTTGAGATTCTGGATTTCATCTTTGAGTTCCTTTTTTTCTGCTGAAGAAAGTATATCTGAAAAGTGCTCATTAGCAATGTAAATATCATGTTTGATTGATGTTGATTCAATAAAAATCAAATTTTTAAATAAATCTACTGTCACCTCTGTTTTATGACCTTTACTACTGGATGTAAAATGTTAATTCTGATGTGCAGCATAGCCATAGATGTACACTATAGGCACTAGATACAGTGCGCCCCTCTCTCGCCTTGCTGCGCGATGGCCACATTTGACAGCGGCGTCCGCCATGTTTCAGTGGGCGAGTTGTGTGAAGGGATTCAAGCTAAAGCAATGGGCTAGGCATGTTTTCTCTCCCTCATACGCGATAGGCGATCGGCTTGGTCCTTGTTAACTTTTTTTTTTACATGGGCGCCGTGGCGTACTATCTAGGTTACTAAATAGCAATAATACAGCGTTCTTTCTACAACTAGATCTACAAACAAATGTATTATTAAATAGATACAGATAGAGATATATATAGGCTTAAAAAAAGAACCCAAAAAACCCTTTATTTCTTCATCAGCACTATATCTACGAAGTGGTTTATTTCTTATTGACTGAATCAAAGCGTAGATCTATAGGGCCTATCGAACTTATAAAAAGAAGTATGAAAAGATGTGGTATCATGGGAACCTCCCAATCACCCCACCCTTTCTCTCCTCCCGAATCTCAATACCCCCCCCCCCCCCCAAAGTTTGGCTTTAAATTAAACCAAGATGAGCCATAGAAAAAAATTCAAGTTTTTCCTCCATTAGGTGTAGGAAGGCACTGAAGCTCTTCATAAAGCAAATTCAATCAAACAAATGATGGATACATGTGGGCCTACTAGTATTTTAAAAATCGAGTAAAACTTTCCTTAGTGACATTTGAACAGGAAACTGTATTTTTCATTCTTATGTTCACTTATTTTTTTTTATTATACCAAACAAGTAGTGTTTCCTTACGTCGGTATTAAACTTTAAAAAAAAAAGAACTAAAGTAGACCATCTACAGCATTTAAACTAAAGTTCCTTCTATTGCTGTTTTAAGTAAATCTAATTTAGGGCATTAGTAAAACAACTCAGCTCTGGACTCACTAAAGATAAAAAAGGGAACTTAACGTTGTTTTGTAGCCTGGACAATAAATTATTGTTTGTCTACACTGTGTAGTGCTAACTGATATTATGCTATGCATATATATAGCAAGCTCAGCACCAAACGCACTCTGACTATGGCTTCCTTTGTCAACAATAAACTTAGATATCTATCCTATACACTACTTCATACATTTTAGACACAAGCCTATCTTTGGCTACTCCCATCCATCATTTTCCCATAAAAATAATTAGGATTGATGATGCTGTCATATTGCTATATAATATATATATTGTTTGTTTTTTGTTTGTTTTTGTAAAGTGTTTTACGGCGCTCGCAACTGCGTAAGGTCATATGAGCGCGTAGGACACACCTAATATTTTCAGTTGGTAGGAAATTTTGAATTTTGCCCGGGTGGCGGCCGAAGCCTACTCTTATTGATTTTAGACCACCAAGGGATCTTTAACGTGCGCAACTCCGAGATTTTTCGCCCTTGTCCGAGAAGGCTAGGTGTAGATCTTTCCTACCAGAAGATCAGGGGTGTGGCAGAAAGACAGCAGTAAGGAGGGGCCAAGGAGTAGCAGTAGAAAGGCTATAGAAGGAGTCAGGAGCCCACAGGAGGGGGCAAAGGAGGTAAGGGGGTGGGGGCAGAAAGTGGAAATGAAAGCAGACAACAGAACATTGCTAGAGAGCAGGAAAGAAGATGAAAGGAGACAATTTTAGAGAAGAAAATTTTTTGGTCGCTACCCAGATTCGAACCCGGGACCTTTGAATGAGAGGCCAACACCTTAACCTCTAGGCCACGAGAGCCCCTAATAATATATATATATATATATATATATATATATAATATTATAATATATTATTATCTTAAGTCAGTGAGTTAAGTGAGTGAAATTGGTACCTCAAATAAGTAGATCTAGCTTGGATTTTGTTATGTTTAAGTAAGTAATTAAACACAAAGACGAGGCAAAATTGCAGTGGTTACATCGAATATCAATTAACTGAAAGGTAGGCACTGATCAGACCAGGCTCTTAATCTCTTCGAATATTTTCTTCAAAACAGAGATCTGGGTCTAGACCTAAATCTAATCAGTCTTAAATTCTTATCAATCTTATTCTTACTCTTACCAATGAAATGAAAGAGGGGTTCCTTTGGAGGCTCTGTAACTGTAAGTATACTAATAAATGCAGCAGTGTTGCACCATCCTTTCTGGTCTCGTTTTATTGTAAAGAAATTCTCTAAGGCTGAAATAATAATAATAACAACAACAATAATAATAATAATAACAATAATAATAATAATAAAAATAATAATAATAATGCAGATCATTTCTATAGCGCCCACGAACACAGCTCTAGGTGCTTTACATAAATGCATGAATGAACAAAATTCACACACACACGCACACACACACACACACACACACACACACACACACACACACACACACACACACACACACACACACACACACACACACATACACTCACACACACACACTCACACATCACCCGCATACGCTTACACATCGTACAAACATGATCTAGATCTAGAGATATCTACATCTAGATCTCGACGTCTGTGAGGATTTGGCTTTTCTTTGGGTTACATAAACGAGTTTCAGTATTATTTTCATTAAGCTGGAGCTTATTATCAATCATCCAGTTCTTGACATCATCAATGCACATACCCATGGTGGCAGGGGAGGTTTTAACATCTAGAGATCTAGTGGTGGAACAGATTTATAATTTATACAACTGCTTATCATCTGCGCAGGCCTACATGTGATAATTCATACTCAACTGTGCTTTCTAGATCTAGTCACAGCTCCAAGCGGCTGTGTATATATAACGTATACTCGATTGGACCCAATAAGACGTTAATCCAGAAAGGGACTAGATCTAGACCAGAGAGGGTTTACAGTAATAGAGAAGTGACACTCGTGGCGGCGCTCCATAACAACAGTGCATTGTTTCGCGTATCGCCCGGCGCGGGGCGCGAAAACACTTACGCGCGGTGATCGCTGCTACGGCGATGCTCAGGGATGCTGTCATGTCATCATAAGAAAATGTAGTACCTTATTTAGTTCACTAAGTTACCTTTAACAAAGAAGGAGGCCTGTGAATTCTATCGCATATCTTAGGAAACCCCTGCCTCCCTCGGCCATAAACTGTAGGCCTAAGACTTGTTTTTAGCTTATGTTAACATACATTCTAATAAACGAATAGACACAGATACATTACTTCGTCTCTATAGATCTGCAAAAAATAATATCCCCGCAATTAAAGGAATAATCGGTTTAATTTTCAGTAAATCTACTCGTTCTCCAGTGTCCCTCTGTCATCTCTCTCTCCCTCTCTATCGGTCTGTCTGTCTGTCGGTCTGTCTTTTTTTAATCTCCCTGTCTCTTTTGCTCTCTCCATGTCTCTCTTTCTCACAAGGAGCTTTAAAACTGTAAACTCCTTGCTTTCTCACCACTCTCTCCCTCTATCTACCCCCCCCCTCTCTCTCTCTCTCTTCTCTCTCCCTCTCTCGCTCTCTCTGTCTGTCTCTTCCCCCCCCCTCTCTTTCTCTCTCTCTCTCTCTCTCTCTCTCTCTCTCTCTCTCTCTCTCTCTCTCTGTCTCCCTTTCTCTGTACGCCCCTCTTTCTCCCCTCTCTCGCCCTGTCTATATGTCTGTCTGTCAATCTGTTTCTCTGTCTCTTTCTTTGTTTCTGTCTGTCTGTCTGTCTGTCTGTCTGTCTGTCTGTCTGTCTGTCTGTCTGTCTGTCTCTCTCTCTCTCTCTCTGTCTGTCTCTCTCTCTCTGTCTCTCTCTCTCTCTCTCACACACACACACACACACACACACACACAATATTAAATTATCACAATTTCAGATCATGAAAAAGCACATGAAGCAATTAATGATAAAGAGTTTAATAGGATCTCTAACACCTTCCATTCCCCCATCCCCTCCCCCCCCCCCCCAAAAAAAAAAGTGGTAATCGGACAAAGAAAGTAGCAAAACCGCGATGGCACTTTGTATTTAGACAACTTTTCGCAGACCCAGGTAACGTCTTTCACATGTAGAATGCAAGCTAAATTTGGGCTTTTAGAAAAAGGGAAAAAAACAACTGATATAAAAAAGTTGAAGTGTGTTGAGTTTGTGCATGGAGTGTGAGTCTGGTAGGACCACAATCACATTGTCATTATTTTGATCTATATTTTTCTATTCATCAAAATATGTTTGTCATCCTTTGGAAATCGAAAGAAACTCAGATTTTGATTTTGATAGGTGCAGTTTATAGCAGAACACCATTGACATTTCGTGCAAACCGGGGCCATGCTTGTCTGCGATTAACGAAAATGCCTTGAACAATGCACGCAGTTTGTTTTGTTTACCGCTTGTTTCTCCACGATCAGCTGGTGACCCAGATACGCGCATCCGGGCGAAGTGCCATCTCTCTAGTATTACTGTAAACTCTCTGATCTGGACCTAGATCTAGAGGTTTCACATGCTTGCACTTTTAAGAGAATCACTTTGGATTAAAACATAACGTTAGAATCAAATAAAACACGTAAGAGCAGAGACACGCCCACTCACATGTAAACAAAAGTTTTTGCCCACTGAAAAATGGCCGCCTACAAACTCAAATGTTTCCGTGTCACGTGACCTCGTACGGACTCTAGTATAAAAGGAGATAACTCTATGAGCATAGCAGAGGAAATGTAAATTTACCATCAATTAAACTATTGAGTAAGTTTTCACAGTAAGAAATCAAGCTTTAACTCACTCACTACCACAACCGCAACTGTTGCGGGTAAAGTAGCTCTAACATTGTAGTACCACACCCGCAACCCTCGCGGTTCACACTTATGAATTTTTTCTCACGTTAAAACCGCACCGTTTGCGGTACTGGTACTTTTTTTAACGTAGCTCATTCTATTACCTTTCATTAGAAAGAAAGGAAACCGAAATGGGCCTAGCGGAAGTTGAGTTATTGACTTTTACGACAACCACCCTTAGAACTGAA